TTTGCAAAGGCATTTACAAATGTGGCTTCATTAATTCTGCTAATATGAGGCAGGAGTCATCATTATCATCTCCATTTTCCTGAAGAGGAAACAGAGGCACAGAAGGGTGAAGTGTCTGTCCCCGGGTCACCCAGAGGATCAGCAGTGGGCTGTTGCAGGACCCTGGGCAGCTGAGGGCTAGCGCTGCACCCTTGCTCACCCTCCCCTGAGGACTGTCCCGTTGGGGGACAGGGACGACCAGCATGGCCCAGGCCCATTGGCATGCCAGCGTCATCCTCAAGTGAGGACAGACTCGATTTTACCTGCAGTAATTTCCTCTCTCTGTAAATATTTATTTTAGGCTATAGAAAAAAAAAATGGATTCCTCAAAGCTGAAAGGAAGTGCTGCTTGTGACAGTGCCACTACGATCTCCACCCCGATTCTGGACGTGGAAGGAAATGTTTGTTCTCCTTTAGACCATGTCTCCTGGGCCTTGCTCCCAGAGAGGCAGCCACAAAGCTGTGGGCCACCAAGCTTGTGACAACAGCCACACTGAGGAGAGCAGAAGGTGCTTGAGTCAAAAGGGGGTTTCCTGTTGAATAGAGAACCTGACCCAGGGCAGACGGGCCAGACCTGGGGCAAGAGCATGAGCTAGACCAGCCCGAGGTGTCACCCAGAGAGCCGGGGTGACAACGCTGTGGCGAGGAGGCCACTGGCCAGGCCTCTGAGGACCCGGGTGTGCGTTCTGTCTTTTCCACTCACTGCACAACCCTTGGGGACTCACTTCCCAGCTCTGAGCCAGTTCTCTCGCTGGCTCAGTGTGGACGGGGGAGGCAGCTGTGTGGGTTTGAGTCCTGCACCAGCTGAGTGACCTTGCACAAGCACCTAACCTTCTCTGCGTGGCCTTCTAGTCCATAGGCAGGAGGTGGTGATGGGGCAGTCCGAGAGGATTAGGTGAGTTTAGGCCCAGTGCTCAGGGCGAGGCCTGGCACACGGGGGGACTGAGTAATCTTGGTTGAAACAGGAGCCGGTCACCCAGCCTTGCTCGAGGCCGTTGTCGGATCAAATAGACAATGTGTAACTGTAAGGGAGGCAGGGCTGCCGTGGATGGGACTCATGGCCCCTGCTTGGAGCCCTTCCCACTTCCAAACCTGCCCTCCGTAGAGGCTCTGGCATCAGACTTGGGGGCCACACTCCCTGCAGTCCACTCTCAGCTCTTCCCCTGCCCCCTACACTCGCCACTGCCTACCCTCCTCCTGGGACTCCCCTCTGCCCAGCCGTCCACAGAACCTGTGACTCGACCTCTCAGTCCTCACTCTGGACCACCAAGCTCACCGGCCACCTTCGGCCATAGCGCCCCGTGGAGCCTGCCTGGGGCCCGCCTCGCGCAGTCTGACATTAGAGTCCTTTGGCATTCGTCTTAGTGCTGTAACTCAGTGGGAGCTGCTTGCGATCAGAGACTGAGCGCCCACACTGCCTCCTTTTCCCCGAAGGGCTGAGGTCAGTCCCAGACCCAGCAGAGAAGGTTAAGGAACAATAACTGCAATAGTTTGTGAGTGCATAGTACTAACACAGTGCCATGCCGGGCTCTGTGTCATCCTCTGAGCAGCCCTGTGAAATAGGGACTATTAATGTCCCCACTTTATAGAGGAGGAAACTGAGTCCTGCAGAGGTAAGTGACATGCCCAAAGTCTCACAGGTGAGCGGGAGGACAGGCCCAAGCAGTCTAGCTGCAGAGCTGTGCTTTCACCCCCCAACATGCCTAGAGGTGAAAAGCACGGAGGAGCCCTAGCTTCCTGGGGCTGTCTGTGTCCTGGCCTCGTTCCGCGGGCGGGCAGCACAGCCGGTGGACTCCTCAGTGCGGCATGCACCGCTACGGTGAGGGCCCTGCGTGCCTACTACCTTCTGCTGCGCTAAACAAAACAGCATCGCAGCTTTTTATTTTTTTAAGAGGAGCATAAAGAAGGAGAAGCACCCTGGTAGGATGTTGACTTTGCCTTCCTAATTAAATCTAGGGGAGAATCCTTGCGGAAAAGATGCCAACAAAATGTATCTCTGAAATTAATTACGGTAGCTGAATCAGCATTGGAGGAGCAACATCTTTCTCCTTGTGTCCCTCTGACTTGGGTAATCCTTTCGTTAAGTTATTCATTCTCCCAACAAACACTATGCTTTTAGGCACTGTGCTAAATGCTGGAGATGTGGAGATAATCACAACGCCTAACTTTGGGTACTAGGACCTAGGCTAAGAGTTCTTCATGCACCATCTCATTTTATCCTGACTCTGTGAGGTAGATGCTTTTTTTTTTGAGACAGAGTCTCACTCTGTTGCCCAGGCTAGAGTGAGTGCCGTGGCATCAGCCTAGCTCACAGCAACCTCAATCTCCTGGGCTCAAGAGATCCTCCTGCCTCAGCCTCCCGAGTAGCTGGGACTACAGGCATGCACCACCATGCCTGGCTAATTTTTTCCTATATATTTTTAGTTGGCCAGTTAATTTCTTTCTATTTTTAGTAGAAAGGAGGTCTTGCTCTTGCTCAGGCTGGTTTTGAACTCCTGACCTTGAGTGATCCACCAGCCTCGGCCTCCCAGAATGCCAGTATTACAGGCGTGAGCCACCGTGCCCGGCCCCAGTAGATGCCCTTATTAGCTCCATTTTATAGATGAAGAAGCAGGCTGAGCATGATTAAGTAACTTATTTAATATCACAAATAATAAATGGCAGAGCCTAGATTCAAACCCAGTTGTTGTTCATTAGTCTGGTAGGGAAACTCCTTACCCTTTCTTTGAAATGGAGCGATTGGCATGTTCTCCTTCTTATGCAGCATGTCTGAAACCTTCTTTAGAAATGCTTTTATTTTTATACTGGGAGTGCAGCAGTACTTCTGCTGGGCACATGCAGATCGAGACTGATCTCCTGGTATCCCTCCCAGTCTGATTGCCATTCCTAATCCCCTCCTGTCAAGAAAGTCTGTGGCAACCCCTGTAGGGATACAAAGAGATAAATATTAAGATGTTAGTGCAGCAAAACCTCCCACGTATGGAGATAAAGGTCTTTTTTTAAGATCCAATGGGGACACCAAGGAGAATCAGCTCCACTTACAATGATGGCTGGGCACAAATCTTATGTTAGTCAGTATAGGTAACACTAGCTGCATAACAAATAAGACCCTAAGTTTCAGTAGCTTAACACAATAATGCTGATTGGTGTCTCAGTCTAATGTGGGTGTGATGGTTGATTTTATGTGTTTACTTAAGTGGGCTAAGGGATGCCCAGATAGCTGGTAAAATATTATTTCTGAGTGTCTGTGAGGGTGTTTTTGGAGAGACTGGTATTCGAATCAGTGGACTAAATAAGGAAAATCACCTTCACCAGTGTGGGTGGGCCCTACCCAATCTGTCAGGGCTCAGATAGGACAAAAAGGCAGAAGAGGGGCAGAGTCACTCTCTCTGAGCTGGACATCCCTCTTCTCCTGCCCTCGGACATCAGCACTCCTTGGTCTCAGGCCTTCCGACAGGCCAGGACTTATAGCATTGGCCTCCCCAGTTCTGTGCCTCTGGATTTTATTTATTTATTTATTTATTTTATTTTTTATTTTTTGTCAACACAGGTGTGGTTGAAATGCCTCTGGATTTTAATTGCAACTTACACGGTGGGCTCCCTTGGTTCTCAGGCCCTCTGACTGGGACTGAATTATACTGTAGGCTTTCCTGGTTCTCCAGTGTGCAGATCCTGGGACTTCTCAGCCTTTATAATCAACAAACATATATCCTTGATTTTGTTTCTCTGGGGAACCCTGACTATACAGTGGGTATTTTTGCTTAGAGTTGGACTTTCCCAAGGCCATCCAGGTCCCGATGTCTCTCCTGTATTGTGGTTGTGCAATCCCACCGGGTCTCAGAGTCCTCTGTTGGGTCCTCTGTTTCCAGGTAGGAGATGGAGAAGGACAGGAGTCAACCATGGAAGGCTCCCATGGGCTAGACTGTGAGTGGCTCTCATCACTTCTGACTCATAGTGCAGTGTCCAGAAGGCAGAGAAGAGGAGGCTGGGAACTGGAGTAGCTGTGTGTGCAGAGGAGGAGAGCAGGTGTGGAGGACAGCTGGTCAGCCTCCGCCCCAGGCTTCCACTCCACATCCATCCCGATTCCTGCGATTGCTTCTCTGCAGGCATCTGCTCCCATCAGAGTGTGTGCTCCTGGAGGGCCGAGGCCACCCCCAATTTGCATTCCCACAGGGGGCCACAAGGTCTTGCGTATAAAAGAAGCTCAGCACATTTCTGTTGGCAGATCAGCGAGTGTGTAAATGAGGGCTTGAGTTGGATCTTGCTCAGATTTAATGTAATTTTGAACTAGCATTGCGATTTGCAAATGTAATGCTTAGTTGTGTACATGAAGAGTTTTATTTTGGAAAAGAAAAAAACTCTTTGAAAGTTAAGGATCCTCATCCCTTAGAAACCAACCCATCCTGACAATCAAAGTGAGTGTCAGCACTGTCACTCATGGGGTGGCAGAGAGACGGATTAAACTAGCCTGTGTGTTAGGTTAATGTGAGTCCCATGACCCTGTATTTAAAATAGGATGGCAGACACCATGGTTCTGTTCAAAAGAGAGGACCTTTTCTTTGGCAGTGACTCTCATTATTGGGTTCATGGCATTAATTGTGATTGGCCAGGAACCCTAGAGCCATTTGTCATTAAGGAAAGACAGGCGAAGGCTGGTGGGGGTGACAGCAGCTGCCAAGTGTTCAAAGAAGCCCTGAAATATCTAGACCAGGGTTCCTCAACCTCAGCCTTGCTCACACTCTGGGCAGATCTTTCTTTGTTATGGGGGCTGTCCTGCGTGTTGTAGGATGTTCAGCTCCATCCTGGCCTCTGCCCACTGGTTGCCAGTAGCTGCCCCCACCCCCTGCAGTTGTGACAATCTAAAATCTCTCTAGACATTGCCAAATGCCCACTGAGGAGCAAAATCACTTTGGGCTGAGAACCACTGACCTGGAGAGTTCCTGAGGAAGAGAGCGGAAGCGAGGTCCACGTTTCCCAGTTCTCTCTTGCAATCCCTCTGAGAAGCAGCGTGGGGCACCAGGTGCTATCGTTTCTGGCAGGTGTTTGCTTGCACCTCAGGTACGTTTAAGGAAAACGTGGCTGTGAACTCCATCCGAGCTGTGGCCATCCCTCCCGCCCCCATTGTGAGCAAAAGCTCAGGTGGGAGGGATGGGGCGGGTGGTTCAGGCTGCCTCAAAGGGGGCTGTTTCAGCAAGATTGTTTGATGCAACATGTCAGGCCAGGCGGCATCCTCAACAGAGTCTGTTCTGACGGAATCTCAGAAGTCTCTCCCAGAGCGCCTTGGTCAGCAGAGAGAACTTGCTCATAGAACTCACCAGAGCCATGAGGTGGAAAAGCCATCGTCCTCCCTCCCTGGTCACCACGGCTGACAGAGGGTAACTACCTGGCCTCTCTGCACCCACCACCCTGACTCTGAGCAAGAGAAGAGAAAGAGCATCACTCAGTGAAACTCTCTTACTTTAAAAAGTAAAGCTCGTCAAGGGGTTTCGGCAACAGGACTGTATATCTGGTGTCTCTTTTCTGTTTTCAGTTCCACAACAACCTTGGAAAGTAGATAGAATGAAAAGCATCAGCCGCATTTCACAGATGAGAAAACTGAGACAAAGGGTACGTGACTGTCCCAAGAAGGACTCAAACCTCCAAGCATTCATATCATGGACCAACTGAGTCCAAACAACCCTGGCATTGTTTCCGCTCTTACAAGCTGCTGTTTAAAATGCAAAGTTAGGTGGGAATTTGGGGCTGTTAGGTCCCCTGTCGTGGTGAGCTGGGGGGTGGGGTGGGGAGGGTTTCTCAGAGCACGTGTATCTCTCTTCCTCCCTTGGGAAGGAGACCCTGGGGTGGGGAGGACCCCGGGGGCCTCATTCTCATACGCGTGGTGAGGACGACACATGCAGCTGTCCTGCCTGGGACCTGTGAGCCTGTTTTGCTGGCCTGCTAGTCAACACAGCTGGTTCTGTTCTCCGTAAAATGGGGACGAATCCCTCACAGGGGAATAGGTCTTGCTTTCGTTTCTGAGAAATGTAATTAAAATCTGGAAAGAGTTCACTAATTCTGGGGATAAGATAAGCCCTCAATACGTGCTCACACCCACGTCTGTTGCCTTGGATGCATCTGAGCGTGCCGTTCTGGAAAGGATGCTCTGTTTGTTTTTTTTCCCAGAGTAATTAGTATTTATTAGTTTGGCAATTTTTAATGAGACAAGCAATTCGAGCTCAGCAAGCTGGCAACGTCATAAAGTAAATGGAGGGCGTGGAGTTTGGGGATCCAGCTCAAAGGGAAGCTGAAGGGTCACTCACACCTTTCTGAAGGGCCCCGAGGTGCAGGACAGCTGGACAGAGGTACGTGTGGATGATGGGAGGGTGAGGGCTGGAGGGGGCTCCCGTCAGCCTGGGATTGAGCTGTGGGCGTTGCATTCATTTCCACATTTAACCCTTCCACAACCTGACTGAGAGGAGGAGACCTTTCCAGGAAGGCCTGAAAAGCCCATGCTTCTCCATTAAACCAACATATTTATGGGCTTCTTTTTGGTGTGTGAAGTCCTTTCATCTGATTATCACGAATTTTGCACCTTGTACATTATTATCTCCACTTGACAGATGGGGAAATTGAGGCCCAGACGAGTTAAGAGTCTTAAACTTAAATAGAGCAGCTGCTCACTGGCAGAGTTGCATGGAAACCCAAGCCTGCCCCTTCCAGGGCATCATGCTGTGTGTCTCAACCTTGATCGCAACGAGGTGTGACCACCGGAAGCTGCGTCCGGGCCACAGGATGGACAATGCATTTTGCCGGGTAGACGAGTTGCTGATGCATCCAATGAAGAAACAGCTTCACGACATTTTGCATTTGGTTGTGGGCAGTCTGAGGTTAGGGAGATAGAGACTGATTAGATTGATGGGGAACAGAGGGAATGAGTAGAGGCAAGACGGCAATGAAGCCAGCAGCTGGAAGGAGGAAGCAGTCCTCAGAGAGGGGGCGGCTGTGTGACATGGGGGCAGCGGGACATATTTGGGAAGGAGAAATAGAGGCAGGATGTGGGTCTAGGTGCCTTCCTAACTAGAATAGCCAGAGAAATTTCAGAGGAAATGGGAAACAGCGGGTGACAGTGACTTCTGCAACTCAAACAATGATAAAGCTCATTGGGACGGACTTTTGACATCCCGTCCTCTGAACAGCCAGGGATGGTGGTCATTTGGGCCCCTGTTAACTTTTTGTTCTAGGCTCTGTTGTGTCTCTCTTCTCGGTGCCACAGGGAGAATTTCAGGAGGCATCAACTGCTGGCGTTAGATTAGCAGGGCCCCAGCTTCTGTTTAACCCTCTGATGCACACAGATGGCCTGTATCCCCGACAGAATGAAGCCTGAGCGATGTTTCCTGCAAACAAGAAATCCCTTCCTCTCTTGATCACATTTTCTACTTTGGGCTATAAAATAGGAACTTCTAAGTCCTGTGGAAATGTTGGAAAGAGGCTTTAACCTTTAGTTCATTTCCATCAATTTATGGCTCCTGGAAAGAGGAAGGGGAACTTAATTGGATTGGAGGAACGGGAAGAGGGAGTGAACAAGGGTGTCTTGGATTCTTCTGGGCTCTCTCTGTTGGCATATCCAGTCGAAGAGAATTCGCTTTCTCTCCAGCTCCTCTCCTCCAGGGCTAAGCAAATCTAGGTGGGACCAGAGCAGTCTTGGCAACTCCCTGGATCCTTTCTTGGCCGCCCTGGGATTGCCCAGGTCCAAGTTGGTCCCAGCTCTCCTTTAGCTGCGTGGGTGAGTGTGTGCTCTGCAAACCTAACTCCCCTTCCGTGTATATTCCATGATCTCTAGACTTCCTGGAGGAGGTGACAACCATGCTGAGGTGTGAGAAATTATTAGGAATGAGTCAAGTGAAGAAGGATTGGAAGAACAGTCCAAACAGAGGGCACAGCATGAGCAACAAGGGGGTGGCAGACGGGATGGGGGAGGGGGGATGTCCCCGTGTCTGCCATTTCCTCAGCACAGCAGGCGAGGCAGGCAGTAGTCGGAGTCAGACTGGAGGGGTCAGTTTGGTAGACATCATGGGGTCCTTAGATGCTGGGCTCTGGAGCTCTGACTTCATCACGTTTCTTAGAAGACCAGTCCAGGAAAATGCTCCTTAGGAAAAAGTCCTGAGGCTCAGTGTGTTTGGGTAATATCTTAGAGATTCCCAATAAACAATAACCCATTAGGGACTGAGAGAGTTCTACAATGAAGAAAACTACTTAATTTATTGACTTGGTAACAATTTTTAGCATTCTAAAAAACCAGTGTTTAAAAACCTCTTTGGTCAACACTGCTGATGGGCGATCCAGGGTCTTTGAAAGGTTTTAAAGAGGAGAGTGTTTCTGTAGGATGTATCTTTATTAGCTAACGATATTTTTGGATTTGAAGGAAATAAGGCTGATGTAGGAGACTCTTGAGGAGAGGGTTGCAGGAATTCAGAGGAAAGATGCTAAAAATATGTAAAACACTGGGATATATTGAGGAAGTAAATGGTTTCAGAGATATTTAGGGGGTAGTATCATCAGAACCTGGGGATCTGTTGGATCTGATAGGTAAGGGAAGGAAGAGTCAAGGGTGGCTTCTAGGTTAAATCAGGTAGATGGCCGTGCCACCAAGTAAGAGAGAGAACACTTTGACATGTTGAATTTGAGGAGCCAGTGGTGTGCCTCGGTGGAGGTGTCAGGTGTGCAAATAGATTTAAGTCTGGCTCATGGAAGAGGTTCAGCTTAATGACACAGTCTTTGGAGTTGTCAGTATTTAGTTGGTAATTTGAACAATGGCAGTAAGTAAAAGCCCCCAGGCAAGGGTATGCATAAATTTAAAAGAGTCATGATCTGAGAATAGAATGCTAAGGAATAACATTTAAGAGATGGAAAGAGGAGGAGGAACTCATGGAGCATCTTGGGAAAGGATGAAAGTGGTGTGAGATAAACCAGAAGCTGTCATGCCATGGGAATAGGAGACTCAAGGAAAATCCAGTTATTCATAGAGTCAAATCTAAGAGACAGGCAGAGTGAAGTGAGTCACGGAAGAAGCATGTTGCCATGGGTTCTTGGAAGCTCCCTAATGACCTCCTGAGAGCAGTTCTAGAAAGGTGGTGGGGATAAAAGACTGTTTTGGAGAAGTGGATGGAAGTCAGTGAATGGCATTAACAACAAGTCCTTCAACAAGTCGGGAAGAGAAAAATGTGAGAGATTAGATGACAGCGGAAGTGAGAGAGATCTGAGCACGGAGCTAATTAAAAAGACTAAAGATGCAGGGGAAAAGGGGGACAATTTATGGAGCAAGAAGAATGAAATGGAATTAGAGAGCTGAAAAAGAAAGAGTATAAGGTTTTGACAATGGAGTGGGGGCCCAAGGGAGGAAAGACCATGAATTTTTAGTAGACTTGATCAATGCATTTGTCTGCTTTTTCTCCTGCTCAGTAATCCAGCATAGGAATAGAGAAGAAGGTAGGATTTTTTCATTGATGGAGTGATGGAGTGTCACCAGCTGAATGCAGTGCAGGGAAGGGGGTGCAAGTAGATTAAAGGTACTGGTGAAAGGATGGCTGAGAGGTCCACTATTGAGCAAAAGCTGGGTAGGGATGGAAAATGGGCATGAAGAACCTCAAAGCCTGGGAGAAAATGGAGAGGTTGATGGGGGAAGAGTGCTGATGAGGCCACCTTGGAATGAAGTCTCGAGAAGATGGAATGGTTAGATCAGAGTGGAGAATATAGAAGTTATGACTTCAGAAGGAGGAATGTCCCAGGATAAATAAAGGAAGTGGACCTGGGGATGGGTGTTGAAAGGTCAATGAAGTGAGGCTAAGGTGCTGTTGGGTCTGCTGTAGGGGTGATGAGACTCGACTGGAGGGTCTCCAAGGCCCCCACTGGGTCTGTGATGGGATGTGTTGGAAAGAGCTGGACCAGCATCTCCAGTGCTGGACACATGTATTCACCTGTCAACTGGATATTCCACCTGGATGCTTCATATTCGCCTTGAACTAAACTGGACAAAAGTTGCTTTCATTGGGTTGTCCCCAAGCCTACTTCTCTTCCTGGGTTCCCTCTCCCAGTTGATGGCCCCACCATCTACTCAATAACTCAAGTCAGAAATCTCTCCAGTATGAATCTTATCATTTTTATCTCTGATATGTTTCAGATTCCAGTACTGTCTTCATACCTCCCCTCACTGTTGCCATTTGGTTCTCACAGCCCTTTGTTCTATGGCAATAACTGCAGCCTACCTGGTTTTCTACCATTGAAAGCTTCCCCCACTCCATCAATTCAGCCTTCAAGGTGCTCCAATAGCGATTCCATTAAACTCTCACTCAGAGCTTATCATTCCTTTGCTCAATAACAGCAATGCAAACCCTTCATTGAGCATTCGAGGACCTCCAATACCTGTCTTTAATCTCATTTCCAGCTTCCTTCTCTGTGTCTTCCACCCACACATCCCCAAGGTCCAGCCAAATAAATCTGTCTCCTGTCCGTGTCTCTTGAGTGTTCTCTTTTTCTTTCTCCAGGCTGTTACTTCTGCCTAGAATGCTCTCCACCTCCCCCCAAATGCCCTTTCGAATCCCACCCCTTTCTAGGACCAACTCAGACATCACCCTTCAATTAATCTAGTCTCCCTTTGTCTTTCTCCAGCTGAAAGTAATATGCTCCTTCGGCAAACGCACAAATGACTTCGCTCAAACAACTTCTTCCAGTGGCAGCATTTTGTGTGAGCTTCTGGTCAATGCCACGTCCAGATGGCTATCCCTGTTGCACAATGGAGAGTAAGCGCCAAGTCTTAAGTCTTTTTCCATGCTGTTCCCCGTGAGGTCTGAGCATAATAGACACCTTGGATTCTGTTAGAGCCCAGTGGGGAGCTAAGCTCCACCACTTGGAAGCTGTGTGACTTGGGTACGTTTTTGAACTACCCCGAGCTTCAGGTTTTTTAACCCTAAAACAGGGGTAATGACATTGACCTCCCAGCATCATGGTGAGAATTAGTGAGGCAGCAAAGGCAAAACAGGGAGCACCTGCCTGGCACAGTGTGGGTGCTGAGTAAACGCTTCCTTCCCTTGCAGATCACAGTGTTGAGTCTGTGTAAAGAGAAATGGAAGAGAGTGGATCAGATGTTGCCCACGACTCTGTTTCCAAGAGGACAGGTTTACTGGGCAAGGGAAAGATGTGAGGGGGTAGGACCAAAGGAGATTCCTCCCCTCTTCCTGCTTTGTTTACCTTTAAGATTCTCTTTAATGAGCATCCTTTATTTTCTAAGTTAGAAACCTTTTTATAAGCAAATGTGTATATACATATATATACACACACATGTATAAATGTTTATATGTACAACACATAGACTTATATTCATGTTGAGAAAAGCTGTTTTTCACTGAAAAAACCCCTTCCGGATTTTTGGGGGGTTTGTTTTTGGTTTTTTCCCCCGGAGGGTTGCCGGTTAGGGTTGTTTTGCCCGGTTGTTTTTTTTGATTGTTCCGGAGTTCCCCGGGTTTCCCCTTGGAATTCCTTTTTTCCCCTTTTCCCCCCTTTCATTTTCTTTTCTTTTTTTTTTGGGGCACTTCCCGCATTGTTAGTTTTTATTTTTTGTTTTCCCCCGGGTTTTGGGGGGGCCCGGGGGGCTTTTTTATTTTTTTTTTTTTCTTTTGGGGGCGGTTGTGGGCGGGGAGGCTTTAAGTTGTTTTTTTTTCCTTGGTTGTTTTTGTTTTGGCGGCCTTTTTTTCCTGGGGTTGGGGGGTTCCTTGTTGTTGGGGCCCGGGGGTTTTGGGGGGGCCCCCCAAGGCGTTGGGGGGGGGGGGTTCCGGGGGGGGTTTGGGGCTGTTTTGTTTCCCGGTTTTTTTTGGTTGAAGGACCCTTGGTTGGGGGTTCGGCCCCCCTGGGTTTTGTTCCGACTTTTGCGAGTCCTTGCTTTGTGACTTCAGGTAAATGCCTTGCTCTCTGGCCCTCAGCCTGGTCATTGGGAACGTGAAAACACAAACACTTATTTTCTCGGGTTCTTGGAGGGCTGAGTGGAGATCATTAAAGACCCCAGACACAGTATCTGTGCACGAAGTAATGGTTCCATAGATGAAAATCCACCTTTTGCACCTGTGATTCATCATCCGCTAGGAGAATGTGCCCTTTCAGAGGACGTTGACATTCAGTGACATTCAATCTCTGAGTGAGCAGCTACTAGGTGTGTCTGGATGATAAGGAAATGTCTGCCCCGTCCTCAGGACATGACAGTCTAGTGGCGCTTGGGAAAGGTTGAGGAGATATTTTAAGTTCTCAAGTCCAGAAGAGCCGGTTGGTTGGGCAGAGCAGGGTCCTACGCTCTGAAGCCTACAGAAAACTCCAGAAAGCAGCAGGGGCCACCCATGCCCAATACTTAGCTCCAGACCACATAGCCTCTGTCCCTGAATATTGACATCCTCCTTTCGCAGATGAAGAAACAGAGGGCCAGGAGGGCGTGAGAGTCCCATTCGTAGATACAGCTGCTGCCCAACACAGGGAGCTCAATAGCCATTTATTGCATAAATTAATGAACAAATAATGAAGATCATATTGCTCATTGGTCTTCAGAAGGCTTCTGGTCCTCCCCATCTGCCACAATCCTTCCTTCCTCCCTGCTCTCCTCGTTGGCCTGAGGAGCTGCCCTCGTTACCACACGCCCTGGCTCAAACGCCTTCAGTGGGCCCCTGTGGCACATGGAAATCCTGAGCACGGAATCCAGGGCTCTGCAAAGCGGGACTTCAGCTCACCTGTGCAACCTCGTCCCTGATTACCAAGTTCTGCGTGGTGGCCTCCTCCCAAGCAGCTTAGGCTCTGGACTGCTATCACCTTTCATCTCTCAGTCCTCAGAGATTCCTGCCTCCATGCCTCTGTTTACCTTGGTCCTTTGCCTTACCCTTCCCTTCATTGGGGAAGCTCCTCTTCAGCATCTCCTATCAGCAAAGTTGTCATTTAATCTGACCTCTTTGGAAGGAATCATGTCCTGTGCCCAAGGCACTGCCTGTCCCTCCCTAGTTGCCCTTTCTCAGCTGGCTGTGGAGTGGGGCCATTTGGGTCTCTTCCCCACAGGTGAGGGAGCTCCTCAGGGTTGGAGAATGAGACTGATTTGCCTCGGTTGACCCCAAGTTCCAGCGCAGGGTTTGGCTGGACGAGGTGCTCAGCGGCTCTTGCTGAATGAATGAATCAACAAATGAGCATCGTTCCTGCTCACCTGCCAGGGGCGTGCGGCAAACAGGGAATGAGATGGGTGGTTGACTGGGGGAATTGAGAACTTGTGGGATGCTGAAAGGAGTGAGTTACAAGGGCTGGGAAGGAGGCTGGACTCAGACAGGGAGCTTTGGTGAGAATCCTGACCAGCTGGGGGCTGTGAATATCATGAGTGTCATGGTGGAGGTGGTGGGTGGACACAGAGGTGCCTGTTAACATGGAACGGATGCCTACGATGTGCTGAACTCGCATGGGGTCCATCCCGTGCCTGCCTTCATTTGTTCCTCATAGTAATCCTGCAAAGCAGGCTTCATACTGCTGTTATTCAGCCTCATCTATTATTATTTTTATCTTGGAAAGAATCCCAGACTAAAAAGGGTGAAATAATTCACCCACGGATAGCCAGCTAGTGAGTGGTGGAGCTGGAAGTCAAACCAGTTCTGCTTGGCATCAGAGCCTAGTTCTTGGCCACCTCACACATTCCTGTGACATCCCACAAAGTGGTGCCTTTACCTGCTTGCCACAAAGCCTTGCTCAGAGTTAGTTCTGGAGCCAAGACTATAAAGTGGACAATGATCTATGAGGTGCAAAGTGAACAGATGTCATGCAAATAGCTTGGCTCTCTGCATATGTGTGGGTATTGTATATATTTAATAAAAACCCTGTTACAGTGGTTTTAGACGTGTCTCATTTGTACAGAGGCTATCACAGTTTACTAAGCTCTTTCCCATCCATCCATTATTTCATTTGATACTCACGCCTGCCCCATGATGCTGGTATCATTATTTTTCATGTTTTACATATAGGGACCAGAAATATCAAGTTCTCTGTCCAGAAGGGGTAGATGCAACATCAAACTGTCACAGAGGTAGGCTGGAGGACATGGCTCATATCCTGGGGTATGTGGGCTTCCTAAAATCAAACCCTAGAATTGGACCGACTTAATTACCAGTCCCAGCTGCTGGAGTGGGACGGGACGCTGCGTCCGTATGGGGAGAGGTCTGCCCGGGTTAGCTTCAGCGTATGAAGGAGCAGAGAACTCGGGCTCAAGATGAAGAGAGGAACTAACCCGAACCTGCCTGGTTTATTGATAAGTCACTTCAGTCCTCAGAGACATTTAGTAAAGGGGGCAGAGAAAGGCTTCTAACAAAATTCCCTCCATATGGAAGGAAATAGGGGACATTGGGAACTACGTGAATCGTGTTCCTTCCTTAACGGTGGCAATATCAAGAGCTGGAAACAAGTGTTCCCACATAACAGTAAGAACCACTGGGAGTGCTCGACCCACTGTCAATGCTACATTGTCGCAAAGAAAAGTCGATTTCCTCTGACGTTAAAATCTCACATCCCTGGGAACTTCCACCTAGAAGTTTTTTCCACCTTTGCAGCTGGCAAAGCACGCATACTCTCCCTTCAGCCCCACTGAAAACCACCTCCGTTAAGATTCCTCTTTGAACATCTATCCAGAGAGGGCTGTGGCAGAGGAGAGTCAGGTAGCATTTTCTGTTTAAGTGTGTTAGCAAGTTAAGACAAAGGCTTTCCTGTAATCAGCAGGTAGCTGTTACGGAAGAGTGGCTTTTTAATTTGAAATACAAAGCTACAGAATATGAGAAAATTCTTAGGGAGGGGTGTTTGATGTGAAGCTTGCCTTGGAGTTTCAGAACTCTTTTTCAGCCAGTGTGTCCTGGAGATACAATTTAAAATAGTGTAGAAAGGAACATACTATATTGATGGGGTTGTCAATGGGGGAAAAAAAAAAGCTAAACTCTGTAAAATAATTTTAAAGATATTTATTGTGAGCCAAATTTGAGGACCATGACCCGGAGCCATGCCCAAGAAGTCTTGAGCAAGTGGACTCGCTGTGGTTGGGTTACAGTTTGGTTTTATACATTTCAGGGAGACAGGGGTTACAGGTCAAGTCATAATCAATACACAGAAGGCATACATTGGTTTGGTCCAAAAGGGTAGGCCATCTTGAAGGGGGGTGGTGCTTACAGGTTATAGGTGGGTTTAAAGATTCTGTAACTTGTAATTGGTTAAAGACGAGAAACTTTGTCTAAAGGCTTGGAATGTTTTAAGATAAAGACTCTGTTAATCAGAGACAAGCCACCGGACATAGATTTGTTGTGTAAATTGAGGACTTGCAGCTTTGTCTTGCACACTCTTAGGCCTGTTTAATGGGTTACAAAGGATGTCCCCAAGAAGGGAGGGGGGCATGATGAGGCATGTCTGACCTCCTTCCTCGTGGCAGGCAATTTAGTTTTAGGATATCCCCTTGGCCAAGAGGGGGTCCATTCAGTCAGTCGGTGTGGGGAGCCTTAAGATTTTATTTTAGTTCACAAGTCACAGGAATGCATCTGAACAGGACTTGCTAAGTGCCCCCAGTTTATTGCCATTTGAACATCCCCTCTGTGTCCAATAATATTTCCCCACAACTAGCCAGTCTTCATCAAACATAGCACAAACATGTAAAAAAGAGCTTACCTGTTCAGGCCTCATTTTCCTTATGAAAGCTCCCATGTCACATAAACTTGTATCAAATACATTTGGATGCTTTTCTTGTTAATCAGTCTTTTATAACAGGGCCAGGAACCTAGCTATGGGTGAAGAAAAGATCTTCTCCTCCTACATTTAACTCATAATAATTGTTTGAAAGATGCCAGAGTGTCCCTAGGTGTTTATATCTTTTTTTTTAAATAAATAAGCTTTATTGAAGTATAATTCAAATACAATAAAATTTACCAGTTTTAACATTTGTAACTTTTGACAACTGTATTCAGTCATGTAAACACTAATAATAATTATTGGTTAGAAAAAAACGTTAAACTCTTCATATGGCTGTTTATGCCTTTTATAAAGCTTCAAGGAATCGTTTGATGTTCTCTAGGACTCAACACATTTACCTAATTCTACATAAAACGATACTTTTGTTGAGGAAAGGAGTGATTGAGAATTCTCCTTGCAATCAGCATGCACTTTTAAATCGGAGCCGCGTGGTCGGGCAGCCCCGCCTGCTGCAGAGGAAAGTCCCACGGAGGGGAGAAAAGGCATTCGCTTGACG